TTGGTATTTATTGAATTGACTACTCATTTTGAAAATTAGCTGCATTCTGGAAAGCAATCCCAGACTTCTTTAGTTCTTAAATTCTACACTTAAGAGTTGCTCTATTTGTATTCCAGGTGGCTTAGGTATCCTGTGATACTTTCTTCGCCACATAATGATTGCTGGTGCAATTCCAAAAGAGAGAAATACAAGTTGTCAGGTTATGGTACAGCTCATCTTCTCCAGAGATCATTTATGTGACAATTGCTCAGAGAATAAAACCCTAAGAAATGCCCACACTTGAAGAGCTGACAGGGGAAAACGATTTTGCAAAAGAATGTCTCTATGCCCTCAGCTCTGCAAAACCACTTGGAACCACCAAAATAGATGTCACAAAGTTTATATACTAGAATTCATGGGCTTTATGTATGGTAAACATTCTTAGATCTTCACTTAGAGCCAATTTGCCATGATTCTAGATACAATTTAAATAAGTTTAGTTATCTGATGTAGTGAACATCTGTTCACTGTTCTTTCTCTTTTAGGCAAAAACACCTTGATCTTCCTATGGGGAAACTAGTTCTCTAAATTTTGTAGGTTTGGTAGGACTAATACTACCTGCAAAGTCCAGGAATGGGCACATGACCAAGATCAGACCAGTCCCTTGACTATCATTTGGGCCCTTGGATCCGGTCATGACTAAAATTCTTGGACTTTTGAGCTGCAGGAGGTGACAAATTACCTTTTTTTGCTTGTGTTTGAGTTGGGTATCTGTACCAAGAGTCTTAACCAGTTCATCTAGTTTTCTGGTCAAGCAAATTAGAAACAACAATAGAAGAGAGTTTTTGCTTGGAGATGTGAATTAGCAGTTTCCTGATTTTTTTAAATATTATAAATTCTGAACACTTAATGAAATAAAATCCAGTACTTTGGCACTTGGTGCTGATACCAAAGGAAGGCAAAGGAAAACCATAAAATCTCAATCTCTCTCTCTCTCTCTCTCTCTCATTTAAGAAAAAACACATTTTGGAACCCTAATCATGAACCCATATCTTATAATACAGGACAATGTTTGATAGTCCTGATGACATTCCCTATTTTTATAACTGTCCTCAGTGGTCTTTCACACTTTAAACCATCTTTGATTCCTCTCTTAGTACATAGTTATTATATTATTAAATTATATTATATAAATTATATTGTTAATGTTTCCATTTTAATTTACTGCAAAGCCAAAATACTTTTCACATGTTCAGAATTTATAAAGTTTTTTTAAAATTAATGAAACTAAGTATTATTTAACACATTTTAAAACAAAAATTATAATACTTACATGACAAAATGGCCTTCTGGCCACTACAGGCTCTGCAGCTTTCTGTGACTTCACTGGTCTCCCCACTCCCACCCCCACACATGTACACACTTGCACATATATCATCTCTGACATAGCTGGTCTGGAAGAACTTTTAAGACTTCCTGGATGTGGTTCCATAGTGTAGTGGTTAGCATCTCTGCTTTACACGCAGAAGGTCCTGGGTTCACGCCCCAGTGGAGCCACAGTCCATGGTCTACAACCCTGCCACCCTGAATAAGCCCGATGTCTGATGCTGGAAGCTAAGCAGGCTTGGGCCTGGTTAGTACTTGGGTGGAAGACCACCTAGAAAGATCAGGTGCTGTAGGCATAAAAAAAAAAAAAGTTAAAAATAAAAAGACTTCCTGCCCAGTTAAACTCCCCAGTTTCCAGGAATGCTGGCTCCGATAATAATGTCTCTCCTGTGAGCCCGAGAGAGATGGCCCTAGCTGGGTATAACTCTTCCTTGTTTCCTATGAGGAGATTTCCTATGTTAGAGGCTCCTCCAGCCAAGTCTTCGCTCAGCATTTTTGCCGAGACAGTGTAATATGTAGAGGATTAAGGAGTTTGGAAGAGGTAGGGAGTTGTTGGCACTGGGTGGTAAAAAGGGTTGGAAGGGCTTGTGGTGGTAGTGATGATGAAGGGTTTTGGGCAGGTTTGAAGACAGCTAAGAAGAGTAAATGCAGCTGCTGACCAATGTCTAAAAGAATAATATTACACCAACAAAAATACCTGAATTTCAGTGTTTAAAAATAGTATAGTATACCAGAACACTGGAATATAGGAAACAGTAATGTAATTATGACTTCCTCTTTCCTGACCTTCAGTCAGAGTAGCCTCTAAATCTTAATTTCAGAGACATGCCATTTCACCTAGAGATTCTGCTTCCTGAAATATTCTTGGCACAAACGTTGGAAGGCCCTGGTTCTGTTTAAGAAGGAAAGCCATATGTTTATATCACTGATACACATGGCTGCCAGAGTCATATTTCTGAGATACAGTTCCAATCAAGTAGTCACTAATTATTGAACATTTGCTATGTGCCAGGCACCAGAATATACATTATCTTATTTAACCTTCACAAAAGCCCTTTGTAGTAAGTAAAAGCTTAGAAGAATCTCTCGAAGAGGAAACAAAGCTACTAGATGGCAGAACTAGGTTTAGAACTCAGATCTCTCTGACTCTGGAGCTTGGGTCCTTAACTACTATTCTGTATTATCTCTTCTGCTCAAAATCTAAGAATGAGTGGTCAATAAATTCTAAGTGCTTATCACTCAAGGCCCTTACTCCCAACTACATTCCAATTTTATTTTCTAAAACATCCCTTCATACATCCAATTTTCAGGGCAATATTTGCTGATCACCAATATCCCTCAATAGTTCAGACTTCTGTGCCTTTGTTTGTGTAAGAATGCTCTCTCTGGGCACTAGTTCCAGAAAAAATAGAAATCTTTAAATTGTTTCATACAATAATTGTCATGATTTTTATTTTTTATTATAATGACAGCTATTGATTTTTACTCATATATATATTTTCCCCTTAAACTATTTTTTTCCTGAAGCATGTACAAAGATTAAGTGGTTTTTTGAAATGTATCAGTCCTTTACAAATTGTTTATAAACCCCAGTCCAACAGAATTAGGATTCTCGATAGTAGAAGTCATTTTACCAGAAGTCCAAGAAGTCTTTAGTGTCTACCAAGATTATCTAAAACAAATGAACAAAAAACTAGTAGGACTGAAATTTGGCAAGCAGTCATGGATTTTAAAAAGTGCTGGGGGAGTGATGATACCTTGAATGCATAGTTGGTTTGATTACAATGTGATAACAATATGAATATAATACTGCTTTTTAAGAAGCAGTAGCTCTCCAGAAAATATGAGAAGGAAACATTTTCCAGCTCTTTTCAGAAGGCTATCATTACCTTGATAACAAAACCAAAGACAGTCCAAAAAAGAAAACTACAGACCAATAGCCCTCTTGAACATAGGTACAAAAGTCCTCAGGATATTAGAAAATTGAACTCAGAAATATATAATATATAAGTATATATTACAGGATACAAAAAAGAAAATGTACAAAGAATAACATTGTGACCAAAAATTCAAGGCTGATTCAATATTCAATTATCAGTCAAGAGACCTACAAAAATACAGGAAACTTAGCTTTGACAAAAGAGCAAAGGCAATTCAATGGAGAAAGGATAGGTTTTCAACAAATGGTGCTTGAACAACTGGACTTCCACATGCAAAAAAGTGAATCTAGACACAGACCTTTTCAAGTAAGCTCAAAATGGATTATAGATGTAAATGTAAAGTGAAAAGCTATAAAATTCTTAGAAGATAACAGAGGAGAAAATCTAGATGACCTTGGGTTTGATGATGACTTTTTCGCCTTCTTGGGTTTTCAATGGTAATGACTTTAGATACAAAACCAAAGGTATGACCTACGAGAGAAAAAAATTGAAAAGTTGAACTTCTTTAAAGTTAAAAACTTTTTACAATGTGAAAGACATTGTCAAGAGGATAAGACAATCCAAAAACTGAGAGAAAATATTTGCAAAATACACAAAGAACTCTGAGATCTCAACAATAAGAAAATGAACAATCCAATTTAAGTGGGGGAAAGATCTGAACAGTCACTTCACCAAAGAAGATATATCGATGTCATATAAGTATATGAAAAGGTGCTCGATGTCATATGTCATTAGGGAATTGCAAATTAAAAATAAGATACCACGACACACTTATTAGAATGACTAAAGCCCAAAGCTAACAACATCAAATGTTGATGAGGATGTGGAGCAACAAGAAGTCTCATTCATTGCTGGTGGAATGCAAAATGGTACAACTTTGGAAGATGGTTTCACAGCTTCTTGCAAAACTAA